CTGGAAGTATTCAAGGCCAGGTTGGACGGGGCTTTGAGCAACCTGGTCTAATGCAAGGTGTCCCTGCCTCCATGGCAGGGACTTGGCAGGGTGGGTGGAACTAGGTGGTCTTTATGGTCCTTTCCAACCCAAACCATTCCACAATTCCATGATTTGTATTGAAATGCATCTAAAAAGGAGGTCTCAGAAGAAATAGATGTAGTTTAACAATGGAAGAATTAATAACTGATCAAGTAGTTTTTGGCCCTCCTTTGACAAGGTAACTGTCTGTAATTGTAGGCTTAAGCTTAATACTGTTGTTGAAAAATCTGGGCCCTAACTTTTGGAAGAAAAGACTAGGACATGTCTTCAGTGTTCTGGAAAACAAGGTCAAACCAGGTTTTTGCCTGGCTGTGTCATAAGAAGTCAAATACAGTTCTGAACTATAACAAAACCTTCTAGGAATTGTTGTGTCTTAGGTACCTTTATTTACCCTGTTTCTTGGAATTCCCAGTTACTTGCTGTTCTAGGTGAGTCTCTCTAGAAAAGTGATCACAAAATGAGCTTACTATATTCTCGCCCTCTTGTTGCTAAGTAGGCCATTGACTATTTCTAGAAAGGACAACATAAATCCAAAGAAAACCAATTCGTACAGAAGAACTTGAAAGAAATGAATTGTGGCAGTTGCTTCTAATGTCTTTAATAAAATAGATCTTTTCATGTTTCAGTGGCTTATGAATCCTAATCATCATGATTTTTTTAAATCTAATAAATGTGAACAGCTTGTGATTCACCATTATGAAACTCGTGTCTCCCAGCAACCACAACATGACTGTAGACTTAGTCTAAGGTGGGAATTCTGCCAAAACCAATTACACTTTCTGCATTATCCACTGGATCACCATTATATATTTGGAAATACCATCCCTTCTTTTCTTTTCCTGAAAGACTAAACGTCCCAGAACAATTGAAAGCATTTGTGTTGAGACAAAATCATTACTTATTTTTAGCAAGCTTTTATTACACTGCATAGGTGCCTTCCCATTTACCTTTAGAGGAATTTCACACACAAAAGCACTGAGGTTCATCAGTGTGCAACTGTGTCACAGTTGATCAGTGTTGATGAAAATATATTTTTTACCTGGATTAAAGTTGATTTTACCTGATTTTCTGGCTGACCCACATAGCTTAATGTTTGCTAATGTCTGTTATGTCCTTACTTTCGAGATTTGTGTTACAAGGTTTTTATCTTGCATCCAGGGAGCCCTGGTTGAATTAAATCAGAGTTTATATCTGTGGGGCAGGTTTCCTAATAATTTTAAAAATATAAAACGTTTTTGCTTTTATCGTATTATTTGTTGGGATTGTGTACATGTGTGTGTGGTATTCAGCTCTTAAACTGCAGTAGTAGCAGCTCTAAGTAGCTAGAACAGCAGTGACTTGATTTACCCAGCTAGAGATGGTGTTTTTTACTTGTCTCTCACTTTGTGCAGGAGAGGAGATCAAACTTTGATATTTACCCACTTTCCTCAGAAGAAGGCACATGCGTGTAAGGACTGATATTTTACCAGGTGTAAAGATTATTAAATGGAGAGTCATTCGCTGTGTAATCCACAAGAACTGCATTTGATCAACAGGCAGTCTGTAACTAGTAAGAGAGGTGGTGTCAGGGAGGAGGTTCAGTTCGAAAGCACAGTTGTTGTTTTAAGACAGTGGACTGGATGCATGTTTGTATCACTAAAAGGGTACAGAACTCCTTCACCTGTTCAAGCACAGGCCAGGGGTATTAACAGGTCTGTCCTGTGGGTGGAAGGGGTAATAACACCTTTAGCCCTGTCATGGGTTAGCCCCAGCCATCAGCCAAGCACTCACACAGCTGCTTGCTTACTCTCTCCTGCCCCCAGTGGACAGGGGAGACAACAGGAAGAGCACAAGTGAGAAAACTTGTGGGTCAAGATCCATACAGTTTAATAAGTGAAGGAAAGAGAAAAAACAAGTGATGCAAAGACAACCAGTCACCCTTTCCCACAAGCAGACCAATGCTGAGCTAGTCTCCAAGCAACAGTTCACTTGTAGGTCAGAGCCCCCTACCATCTTCATCCTCTACCACAGTTTTATGGCTGATCATGATGTTACATGGCATGGAATATCCCTTTGACCGCTTTGGGTCAGCTGGTCTGCCTGTGTCCCCTCCTGACTTCGTGCTTATCCCCAGCCTGCTCACTTGGATGGGCAGAGGGAAGAAGAGAAGGCCTTGGTGCTGTGTACGTACTTCTCAGAAATAGCTAAAACTGTGGTGTGTTAGCAATACTACAGATTGAAGACATGGCACCATACAGGTTGCTATGTGGGAAGTGAATACCATTCCAGGGAGACCCAATATATGCCCACCTTTAAATAATCCCAGTGCATGTTTGAAGCCTAGTATATGAAATCTGGGCTCTTTTTATTTGTCCTCATAAATAATTGTGATGATTTTTTGTGGATTTTTTTTCTTTTTCCTAGTGTAGTGTTGTTTTTTAAATGGAAGTTGAGATCTATTTAGTTACTTGAGCTCAGGAGTGAGGGCAGAGCCTTAACTAAAACTTCCCAACAGCATGAGCAGATAGAACTTCATTACCCCAAAGATACTGAACTGCAGCCTGGCAGGTCCAGATCTTTACAGTGTCAGGAAGTGGGGAAAGGATGGGGGAGGAACTGAGACAGACTGGAGTACAGTGCTCCAAAGACCCATGCTTTCTTCTATTAGGGGTGGCATTGGTGCTTCTGAGGAGGAACCACCTAGGGTTTTCAAATTTTCTGGTGTAGCCAGCTGGCCCTAGTTGTTGACTGTTGAAGGCAGTGTTATTTCATCTATGCCTAAAAATCACTGACTGGTGATGGAAGAAAAACAGTAAGTGTGACAGAAGATGCGATAGCATCCTAGGTGTTGGCAATACTGGCACCTTGTTTATTTGTCAATGCTCCTAGGATGACACTGTTTTTGTCTTGTCACCTTATATGCAGCATAAAAATGGTTTAGTGTGGAAGATCACAGTAGTGTGCCAGTAACAGTCTTCTGCAGAATTCTTGCCCAGGGATCCAGATGTAAACTGGTGCTTTAATCTAATATGTATTTTTGAAGGTGTATTATGAGACATTAACACCTTTATTGTAGCAAGTTCAGAAAGTATTTAGCCTTTGCTGCAGATGGGAAACAATTGTTCCTGAGTATGTGGGGAGATGGTGGGTTGGTTTTGTCTCAGTGAGAACATAGTAATCAGGAATAGAACGAGGAGTTCCAGTAAGTTAAACAGAAAAGCTCTTCATAAATTCACAGCCTTTTTCAGAAACCTTTGTTCAACCTGTGTGGTGTTATACCCTTAATACACTTGACATAAATATTGGAACTTTACATAACAGCAGCTGAGTGCTCTAGCACAGTGCACAGACGGGAGCTGAGAGAGCCGTCAGGGGCCCACAGCTTGTGCCACAGCAGCAGATGGGACCTGCTGGGACCAGGAGCAAAGGCAGCCCTTATGGAGCACTGTCAAGCCAGGTGTGGTGTGTCAGCAAGGGCATGGTGTGGCAGTCTGGGTTGCAGTTTGCACAGGAGGGTGTTCAGGAAGGGCACTGAAACCCTGCCAGCTCAACCAGGGAGCAGTGGTGTCCACCCAGCAGAAAGCCATGGTCTCTCTGAGCTCTGCACCTACCATGATGGACATGACTGCTCGGACAGAGTGCCAGTGGGAACACGCTGCCACCCTGGTGTCCCTAGCTGTGGGGTGCACCCTGCTCTTGTGCCAGAGGACAGCAGTGAGCGCTTCTGCGGGAGGCGTGCCCAGGTGGAGGAATTTCTCCACTTAGTAACACAACTCCAGAAGGAGGGGAGTAGCATGGGAAGTAACAGGGAGTGTGAGAGAAAGAGTCAGAGACCACTGGAACCACACCCTGCCTTCCCTGGGACAGGCCCAACAAGCAGACAGGACACAGGATACAGAGGATTCCCTATCCCCTCTCTGCCTGGCTGAACGCAGTGACTTGGGTCAGTGACAATGAATTCCTGCCTGGTGCAGCAGGCACATCCCCTCTGTGACTGCCCCATGTGCACAGGTGCCCTTGCACAATAGTTGTGAGGCTCCATAAGTGGAACCAGGCAATAACAAGGACAGTGGTTCACCTAGCATGGGGGTGTCATTGAGGTTTAGTTGTCCTGTACCCTGCATCAAAACTGCTTCCAATAAGAAAAATAAAGATTGGTCATTGTTGTAGGAAACTCCCTTCTGAAGGGACCAGAAGGCACAATAATATACAGGCTGGACCCAATTCTTAGGGAAGCCTGCTGCCTTTCTCGGGCCCAGGTTAAGCATGTGAAGAGGAAGCTTCCCACCCCAGTATGACCCTGATTATGAAAGTGGTTATTGTCCGTTATTGATTTTTCAGGTAAGCAGCAATGGAAGTACCAGGAATTCTGAGGTCAATCAAAATAGACTTCAGGGCTTTGGGATGACTGCTTAAGGGATCAGGAGTACAAGTAGTGTTCTTCTCTAGCCTTCCAGTTGCAGGGAATGATGAGGGAAGAAACGGAGAGCCAGCAGATCAATGTCTGGCTCTGAGCCTGGTGTCACCAACAGAATTTTTGGGTTTTTGATCGTAGGTCAATTTACAAAACACCAGGCCTGCTGGCAACAGACAGGATACACCTCTCTTAAAGGAGGGAAATGATCTTTGTACAGGAGTTAGCAGAGCTTATTGATAGAGTCTTAAACTAGACTTGAAGGAGAAAAGGGATAAACCGAGGCTTATTCAAGGTAAGTCTGGGGGTGACACGCCAGTGTTTGAGGGATGGTGTGTTAGCGAGCTCCTTTGGTCTGCTGCATCAGTGGAAGTAAGGGTTGGAGATCATGAAGCAGCAAAGATGCAAGGGTCGATGTCTTAGAAACCATAGAAGCACCTGAAAATGGTCAGGTAGGAATTGGGGTTTCTCCCCCTCCCAGAATAGCAGATGGATCAGTAGACCAACTTGAAGTGCATTTACACCAATGCACATAGCATGGGCAACAAGCAGGAAGAGCTGGAAGGTATTGCACAGCAGGAAAACTGACATAGTTGCCATCATAGAAACATGGTGGGGTGACTTGGACAACTGGAGTGCTGCAGCGGATGGCTATAAACTCTTTGGAGGGTATTGGCTAGATAGGAGAGGTGATGGCGTAGCCCTGTCTGTTAGGAAGTGTTTAGATTGTCTAGAGCTTGATGATCATGAGGATAGGGTTGAGTGTTTATCGGTAAGAATTGGGGGAAGGCCAACGAGGCAGATACTGTGGTGGGAGTCTGTTACAGACCACCCAACCAGGATGAAGAGGCAGACAAAATATTCTATAAGCAGTTACAAGAAGTCACACAATTGCTAGCCTTGTTCTCATGGTGGACTTCAGCTTATGTTTGCTGGAAATCCAATACAGCAGTGTCCTGGGTTCAGCTACAGCAGTCATTTTTTTTTTCTCCTTCTTAGTAGCTGGTGCAGTGCTGTGTTTTTGACTTTCAGTCTGGGAACAACGCTGATAACACCCATGTTTTTAGTTGAAAACTAAAAAAAGTGGCTGCGTGGTTCCAAGTTGCCGGCTGGGCTTGAACCACGACAAGCAGAGAGAAAACAGTTTAGGAGGTTTGTGGAGTACATGGGAGATACTTCCTGGCACAGCTGGTGAGTGAGCTGAAGAGGGAAGGTGCCCCATTGGACCTGCTGTTTGTGAACAGAGAAGAACTTGTGGGTGATGGTTGGAGGCTGTCTTGAGCACAGCAGTTATGAAATGATAGTTTTCCATTCTCAGAGGCCTTGGACTTGTGGAGGGAAGACTTTGGCCTGTTTAGGAGCCTGGTTGACAGAGTCCCTTGGAAGGCAGTCCTGAAGGGCAAAAGAGTCCAGGAAGGCTGGACATTCGTCAAGAAGGAGATCTTAAGCTCACAGAAGCAGGCTCGTCCCATGTGCCAATAGATGAGCCAGTGAGGAGACAACCGGCCTGGCTGAACAGAGAGCTTTGGCTGGAACTCAGGGACAAAAAGGAGAGTTTATGACCTTTGGAAGAAGGGGCAGGAAACTCAGGGAGGACTACAAGGATGTCGTCAGGTTATGCAGGGAGAAAATCAGCAACTAGAACTTAATCTGGCTACTGCCATAAAAGACAATTAAAATGATTAAATATATTAGCAACAAAAGGAGGGCTAAGGAGAATCTTCATCCTTTATTGGATGCAGGGTGAAACAGTGGCAAAGGGTGAGGAACAGGCTGAAGTACTTAATGTCTTCTTTTCTTCAGTCTTTAATAATAAGACTGGTTGTTTTCAGGCTGCCAAGCAGAAGGAAGCCCTCATAATCAAAGGGGATCATGTGTGTCCAGCTTAGACACACACAAGGCTATGTGGCCATTTGGGATCCCTTCAAGAGTGCTGAGGGGTCTGTGGAAGTATTCACCTAGCCACTTTCCATCACTTATCAGCAGTCCTAGCTAACCAAGAAGATCCCACTGGGTCAAAAAGTGGCTGGATGGCCAAGCCCAGAGTGATGGCGAATGGAGTTAAATCCAGCTGGCGGCTGGTCACAAGTGGTGTTCCCCAGGGCTCAGTAGTGGGGCCAGTTCTGTTTAATATCTTTATCAGTGATCGGGATGAGGGGATCGAGTGCACCCTCAGTAAGTTTGCAGATGACACCAAGTCGGGCATAAGCATTGATCTGCTGGAGGGAAGGAGGGTTCTGCAGGGGGATCTGGACAGGCTGGATCGATGGGCTGTGGCCAATTGCATGAGGTACAGCAAGGCTCAGTGCTGGGTTCTGCATGTGGGTCACAACCCCATGGAATGCTACAGGATGGGGGAAGAGTGGCTGGAAATCTGCCTGGTGGAAAGGGACCTGGCTGAACATGAGCCAGCTTGTGCCCAGGCAGCCAAGAAGGCCAACAGCATCCTGGCCTGTATCAGCAATAGCGTGGCCAGCAGGGCCAGGGAAGTGATCATCCCCCTGTGCTGCACCTTGAATCCTGTGTTCAGTTCTGGGCCCCTCAATACAAGAAAGACATTGAGGTGCTGGAGCAGGTCCAGAGAAAGTCAGCGGAGCTGGTGAAGGATCTGGAGCACAAGTCTGATGAGGAACGGCTGAGGGAACTGGGGTTGTTTAGTCTGGAGAAAAGGAGACTCAGGGGTGAACTTATCACTCTCTGCAACTACCTGGAAGGAGGGTGTAGTGAGGTGGGTGTCAGTTTCTTTTTCCCAAGTAACAGGACAAGAAGAAATGGCCTCAAGCTGTGCCAGGGGAGGTTTAGATTGGATATTAGGAAACATTTCTCCTCTCTAAGGGTTGTCAAGCACTGGAACAGGCAGCCCTGGGAAGTGGTTGTGTCACCATCCCTGGAGGTATTCAAAAAGCCATGTAAATGTGGCACATGGGGACATGGTTTAGTGGTGGGCTTGGCAGTGCTGGGCTAGTGGTTGAACTTACTGATCTTAAAGATCTTTTCCAACCTAGATGATTCTATGATTCTGTATTGATTTGCAGTTGGAACAGAAGAGGTCTGACCATCTTGTACCCATCTGGAAAACCTGCATCATCCTGTTGAAAAAGGCTATTACTCATCAAGTTTTGTAATCATTTGTATTCTCTCACTTGAGGTGAAATTTTGACCTAATTAGTGTTAATTGATGATAACTGCTGAAACTGGCAGACTCAGAATTTCACCAATACTGTTTAGATGCTTTTAGTTTGAGTATAGAAATAAATTAAGGTATGAGAGGTGACTGACTGGTAGCAAAGATAGGCAAATCCATGAAAAGAGAATAGCAATGAATAACAGGCATAAAGTGATGATTTTTTTTTTTATTAAGTTGACTATAAAAGAGAATGTATTAATATTAATTCAGATCTGAGACATGTTAAAAATAAGTGAACTTATTTTTGCTTTTAAGTGAATTATATTGAAGGATCAATGCACTAAATGTCAGGGCAAAATTAGCTTCAATTACACTGCGATTTCTATCTGTAAGCAGGTCAGGTGTAGCAGGGATTGCAATGAGGCTGACTAGATTTGTTTTCTAGAAGGCTGTCTCTTGTTCAAGGTGACTGTGCAAACCAAAGAGCATATAGGTGATAAACGAGAATTAATCAGAGGTGAGCATTTCCTTAAGGTGCACTGCTTTTAGAACTTAGGCACTAGCATGTCCTGCAGTGTCAAAGCAGAGAACTAGCTTTTTTACACAGGCTGCAGTGGTCTGTAGTGTTCAGCGACTGGCTTGAATTGTCTCCGGTGATAGAAAGTGAATAATCAGCATGTTATTTACACCTTTGAGGTTATTTCTTTCTGCAGCATAACCGCAAGTGTCATCTAGAAGGACCAGTTTTTGCTGAGTCCTACAAAGCAGGAATTAAAATAATGCTTTGAAACAGAAGGGGTTTAAATGAAATCAACTTCTTACTTTTCTGCTGTCAATGGATTTTCTTCTAGTTTTGGCTTTATATTTCCCCAAATGGAAAGTTATTTAAGGCATTTTGCAGAAAGCTCAGTGAGTCTCAACTCAGAGCCAATTTATTTTTAATATGACAAAAAAAATTTCTATTTCCATAATACTGTATGTGGTCATAAATGACTCATTTTAAAAATTACAGCTGTGATTGATGTTTGCATCACTATTCTTTACAATATAAATTGAATTTAAGAATAACTTGGTGTGGTGTGGTTTATTTCTGAATTAATGGTCTAGGAACGTAAACCACATCTCTGGTTTATTTTTTCTTGGTTGTTTTGTTTCTAGTGGAAACTTTCAATAATACTAAAAAATAATAATCTTCATAGATTATTGCTGTTTTCTCCTGGTATTTATGTGATCAGACATTTTCATTATTTCTCATATACATGACAGAGTTTTCAATAATGTAAAAAAAAAATTCTCCCACCTAATTGTTTTTCTTTCTCCCTCCTAGTCTGCTCCCAGTTTTCAAGAGGAGTCTTTGCTATTTTTGGATTCTATGACAAGAAGTCTGTAAATACCATAACATCATTCTGTGGGACTCTTCATGTCTCCTTCATAACTCCCAGCTTCCCAACAGATGGAACACATCCCTTTGTCATTCAGATGAGACCTGACCTCAAGGGAGCTCTTCTTAGCTTGATCGAATACTATCAGTGGACCAAGTTTGCGTATTTGTATGACAGCGACAGGGGTAAGATGGGATGCTTTTTATCTGCATGCTGTTTGCTGGATGTATCTCACTGAAATGCTGAATTAGTATTAGAAAAGTAAATGAGTAAAGGAATATTTACTTGCAGCAAGTGTAAATGTAAATTTAAATTTAGAAATGAGCTTTTGGGACAGAAAATTGTTTAAATGAGAATGAAATTATTAGTGTGTATGAAGAGAATTGCAAATGTGCTGATAAGTGATGTGAGATTAATCACATGTTGTAAAACAGATCTTATGAAAAGTTTGTTCTTTTTTTTTTTAAAGAATCATCTAAGGAGAAAAAAAGTAAGCATTTGAGCACGAAGGGCAATCTGCTACCACAGATTCACTCCATATGTGCAAAATCGATAGTTGGACACCAAGCAAGCAAAAATCTTGGATGCAGTCCCTTGCTTCTTTGGAGACTGCTTTTCATAAAAAAGCTGGGGGGCGTGTGGTGTGTGTTCATAAACCCAAATCCGCTGCTTGTGAGCAGTTTACTCCACTGTACAGCATTCTCAAGTCCTATGCCCTTTTCTGGCTGTAGTAACAGTAACAGTTTATGGACTGGGAAAAATCACTTGGAAATTGTGGTATATCAATCTTCTAGGAAGCAGCAGCATTATATGGAAGTATTGGGGTCTTTTTAACTGGCCTTTCAGGAATTCCATTATTGTCATTCTGTTTTCAGGTTCTCCTCATCTAGTAGTCTTTGGCTAATTTTTTTCAATTCTTACCTTCTGTTACCTTTAAATAGGCTATTTTGTGGCTCAACTGCATTTTCTTTGGTCTGAGTTGAATATTAAATGCACATTAAATGGTAAGATGCCACTGGATTTCAAGGACGGTTATATCACACCATGGCGTGTTGAGTAGTGGGCAGTGTTAGTCTCTGCATTCTGGTTCTGTTTTATGCATTATGTTGTTCAGAAGCCACAGAGGCTTCGTCAAGACAGTTTACCACTGTTGTAAGGACTAAGGTTAGAAAAACTAATGCTGGTGTGTAGCCTCCAAGAGTAGTGTCATGGGGGATAATGAACCTGAAGCCCATTTCTCTGTCAGATCCTTTTCAAATTAACATCAGGATCAGAAACATTCAGTGTCGTTTTAGAAAGGACAGATGTAAAACTACTTGCTTAGCCAATTACTCTGTCAATCAGCTAGCAGTGTGCGGTACATGACCTGCATGTTATTTGTATTTAGGAAATACTGAAAAACACCTAGTTCTTCTTGTGAGCTGCACTGTCTGAATCTGGCCAGGAATAACAGCGTGAAATTGTTACTTGTAGTCACCCTTTGATTATACCCTTTTCCCTTATTTGTTTGTTTTAATTGTTGCAAGGCACCCCAGTGATAACAAGCTCCAAGGCATGAAGCTCCTACCTCTGTGTTGAGTAAATCGTTGCTCCTCAGTGCTCCCACTGATTGCACAAGGTTAAGCTGCAGAGCCGGGCGGTTATGTACTCAGCAACGCTGACGTCAGACCCTGAATATACACAGTGTCCACAATTCCTCCAAACTCTTTTGTATAAGTGCCACAGTGGAGACAGTGACAGATCTTTAAGGAATGATACCTAATTTAAGATGATTCCACCTCCAGGAGTGAGATAAAAAAGGCAAAGAGACTTGCTCTTTATGGAAGCTGTGAAAGCTGATGGGAATTAGTTTGATGACTTACTCCAAAGGAATAAGATATTGCTGCTTTTGCAACTCTCCTGTGGTCAGGGGCTGTCTGGTTGAAGTGCAGGGCAATTTCCTATCTCATTTCTATCTATAAGAAGTGAGGCCATTCAGTATATGCATGTCCAAACTCTTACTGGCTTAATAATGGCAGTTGCTCTTGAATAATGTGGATTAGTGTCCTTTACCCTCCTTCCCTTTTCTGTGTTGCCAATACTGAACAGTGGGTTTTGGAAAAAGTAGAGATACTATTGGAGGATTCTAGATGTAACAGAATAGCTAATTTACACAGCCTCTGTTCATTCCTCCATTGCAGACCTCACTGAGTTAAGAGTTTGTCTTGTGATAACCAAAAAGAAGTTCAGGTACATGAGATTCCCAAACAAGTATACCTGCAGTTTAAAAAAAAAGCAACTGACGTTGTTTGAGTTTTCTTCTCTGTGGAGTCCCACTTCTGTAACCACTCTCCACATACTCCCACATCCACAGAACTATTGCTGTGAATGCTTTTGTTTGTTTGTTTTTTCATTCTTTTGCAATGTGTATTGCTATCAGCTGTGTGAGGATGACAAATCTGCCACCTATAGAAAGCAAGAAATCCAGGCAGCCATTTGGTAACTCTGCAGAGAACACCTCAAGAAAAGGGAATCCTTAGGAAAAATGGAAGATCAGAGGAATGAAATACAGAAACCCTTTGTAATAGATAGTATTAGCATTAATAGCCTTTACTAATTTATGCCTATGATTCTGTTTAACTCAGGGTAAGCATATAGACAGATTGGAGGACCTGAAATCTACTAAATGAGATCTGAAACAATGTGTTTCAGTTTCCTTTGGGGCTTTTTTGGTGTGGGGTTTTTTTTTGATTTTGAGAAGTCTAACTTTCTTTTTTTCTGTAGTACCCTCTGCTATCCTTAAAATTGTTCTCTAGATTTATATAGAATTTTCTGGAAGGAATTTAAACATAAGAAGTCTAATTCCTGTACTGCTGGAAATGGTTAAAATGGTATTTGTTGTATAGCATAAATTAATTTCAGCAGTAATTTTCATGGTTTTATACTCTGTTATTTAATCCTTGAAAAGGAAAACCAGTCAAATAAAATCTTCACTGATTTTACACTATATTGTAGGAAGTTGCAGCTGTACAGACATTACAGCTTCCTGGCAGGAATGTTCCAGAAGGATAATATGGAAGCAAAATTCTTTAGACTACTTGTAGGTGTTAGTGTTAAGCCTACTTCTGTATATGAAAATACATCTCAGCACATCTATTTTCATAATCGGGGATATGGCTATGGGCAACAGAAATAATGACTTCATTAACACAACTGCAGAACATGGGAATTTTGCCATAGACCTCAGTAAGGTCTGAGTTTAAATACAGTACTGCTCAAGCCCTGAGAACAAAAGCAGTTCAGTAGTGTTTTGTAATGAGCAGCTGATCCTCTTGCCGTAATTGGATCATTTTTCTCCTAGAAGACCTTTTTCCCTTCATGTGGAATTCCAGCAGTGGACCAGTGAAACTCACAAAATCCCATTCTGAAGAAGGTTGAAGCAAAACCAAAAGGTTGTATTTACAAGGATCTACACTGATTCCTTGCTGTGATGTAAATATAAATTTCATGCAGTAAGACCTGATTTGGCCCACACATACCTTCATTTCTGCATCCTAACAACGTGTGATGGGTAGAACAAGTTACAGGGAAATCTTAAACAAGTAATCTCATAAATCAAATTATATAAGCTTGTTATTCCTAAACCTTTATCAGTCGTATCTTCTGTTTTCTCCTGTGCTTCGCTAGGCTTATCAACATTGCAAGCTGTGCTGGATTCTGCTGCTGAGAAGAAATGGCAAGTGACTGCTATCAATGTAGGAAATATTAACAATGACAGAAAAGATGAAACTTACCGTTCACTGTTTCAAGATCTAGAGGTAAAAAAGGAAAGGCGAGTGATTTTGGACTGTGAACGCGATAAAGTCAACGACATAGTTGATCAGGTTTGTTATTCTCTGTTCTTCAGTGACAGCAGTTAGCTACATAAGTAAACGTAATGAGTTCATTTCTCTTGATCATGTTTTTGTGATTACTGTGCATCATTTGGAAGTGACAGGTTGTATTGAGGACCACATCTATATTGGGCAGAAAGTGAATATACAAATCATATAATCCCTCCCTTTGCTCAAAGGTAAGGTAATTCTATCTGGGTGCTCCCATATGGTTTTATATACTGATTATTTATAAAAAAAATAAATCTCATTTAGGCTGTTTCAGAACCTAAGTAGTAAACTACATTATATGTAGTTGATATGATATTATATATGGTGCATAATAAATAGTTATATAATGCCTAGAGATTAGTTCTTCTTACACCTAGAAAATGTTTTCTACTTCTAATGCTATTTCCAAGAACTTTTTACGTCTTGGGAAGGCTCTATCAATAGCTTCTCTTTTCCATTTAACTCCCTTCGTAGTTCATGTTTCTAAGGTCTTTTTGTCATTCATACTGTCCTTTTGTCTCCCTCTTAAAGTGTGTTAACCAAAATTGGCTGTTGTTTTCCATAGCTAAGGCACCTGAGCTTTAAACAGAACAGAAATTATGTCTTCTCTCCACCCACACATACATTATTTGCCAAAATGCTTTTTTTTTCCTTTTCTCTCTCTTTTTTACAACAGCATCACAGTGCTTTGATTCAAATTATTGCATTACCTTCAAATCCACCTCTTCTGTCTTAGTGTCTAGGAAGGTCTTACTGTCTGTACCTTACTCCTTCTTTTCATGCATGCAGAGCACAATTGTAAGGATAGCTCCCTGCTGGCTTGTGCTTGACCATGTGAGACTGTGCAGCATCTGTAGGAATATATCATCAGAGTGTACGTGTACTGATTTGAAGTTTATTTGAAGGGCTTGTTATTTTGGTGTTTGTTACGAAGGTTGTTACATTTTGAGGGGCTCAGGCAATGAGCAGTGTCCTAAGTAGAATGGATTGTATTTGTCTGTTTTATTTGGAATTTATATCCACAAACTGTTCCTCTAGTTTTCAAGATAAATTTGAATTTGATCCTGTTCTACAAAGCATTTGCTCCTCCCTGTCATTCATCTGCAGTTTTTTGAAATCATATTTTCTGACTTGTTGCCTAGGTTGAGAAATACACTAAGTAGAGCAATGCTTGAGCGAAATAGTACTTACAGGTATTCTTCACCTGGTTCTATGTGGCTTTTCAAACAGTTGCTCACTTACCTTTTAATGAATTGTCTTGTCCATGTTCCCTTTAGAGCTTGTAATGATGTTGTACAGAACAAAAGCCTTATTAGGCTCAAGATACATCCTATCTGCTACTTCTTCATTATCTATTAGGTTAGCTATCATGCCAGAGAAAGGGAAGAAATTGCTTTGACATATTTTGATCCTGACAAGACTATATTGACTGTTTATCATCATCTTATCCTATAGATCATTTTAAAATTAAGTAAGTAATGTTCATTATAACCTCTTTAGTGATACAGAAGTTTGGCTGACTGCAAGTTTTTTTCAGTTTCTCCTTTCAATGCTTTTTAAAGACAAGGACCCTCTTTACCCTTTAGGTAACACTCATTTTTATTGTCTTTGTTTAATAACAGACCTATTTTTTAACTTGGCTCTTCATAGTTTGATTGCAGCTCTGGGATATTTTTCTTGTCCTAATTGCACTTTGATTCTGCCTTGCTTTGAGTCTTAGATTTTTTTCAACTCATCCCCCATGCTTGTGCTATTCCTTAAGCATACAGATGGATAAGTTTCTGGTTTTTAAGTCCATTATGCTTACATTCTGTTTCTGTGCCTTCCTTTTCTTACATGAAAAGGTAAACCCACTTTCAATTTCTCAAGTAGCTAAAATAAAATCTAAAATAACTATTTCTCTATTATTTTTCTCTATCTCTTAAACTGAAGGCTTGTGCTGAACGATGGATTTCCTAGCCTATGATATCCTTTGAGTGTATTCTTCTGATTTTCTATTCTAAAAGCAGAATATGTACTTCAAGTCTTGCTTAGCTACCACGTTTTTAATTCCTGCCCCCCACCAAAAGACTGCCACCTCACCAATTTCTTTCTTCTTATGACTCCTTGTACCAGTATCCCTCTTCTTTTTCTGTGTGTTTTTACTGAGACATATGCAATAGGCTTTCCGTTGACCAGATTTTTCTTAATGCTGAAGTTTTATTTACATTCTTGATACATAGAGCAGCAATTTCTTTACTTTCTTCCTTGCTTTTTATTTCTGAACAAACCTATTGTAGTTCTTTGATTTTTCCCACTAACATTTTAAGCTGTGGTGGTAGCCTCAAGTTCACTCAGTTACGCTCTGTAGTCCTTGGATCTTCGTATAGTCACACAACGTGTTTGTGAAGTTGCTTCATCATTCTTGGTTTTTGTCTCATGTTCTAGTTTCTTTTCCAGATTTCAAAGATTTATGTAAGTTGAAAAATATTTCAGTTTCCCAGCTCTTCTCAGACTAGCTTATATTCCTCTTCTCTGATTTGGCAGGTCAGTGTTACCATGCTCTTCATTACATAGCCTCTATCTCTTCTGAGCAAGCTTCCTTTGCAGAATCTCTTTTCCCACTGATAGCATCCTTTGGACAGCTCTACAAGTACTGCCACTTCTTGTCTGTTACTGCTTGAGATGCTAGTCTAAACTGGAGACACTGGTGAATACCTTTTACGTCCACAGCTCCTTCATCATGGCTTTTGGAGAATATTCTCTGAGTTTTAACTGGCAGCGTCCTTATAGTTCATATATATGGGTGAGTGGCACAGGGCAATGTTTGAGAAAGCTAGATTAATGAAATAGTACCCAGTGGCAGTTAGAGCAGACTTACCAGCCACTGGTAAGTTATAGCTACTGGTTGTTTTCTCAGATTCCAGTGATGAAGAAGGATTCAGAAGAGCTAATCTGTTTGGTCTAACTGAAGTTTCTTTGGAAGCAGCAGCTGCATAAGAAATATACCTCAACTTAGTTCTTAAACCTTTAATAAGTAATGAGTTTTAAGTAGCCTGAACCAAGTAACTGTTTTAGAATAATTAAGTTCATATATCATGTATCTATTCAGCTCAAAAGGGATAATTGAATAACTTCTATGGCCTATGTAATGCGATCACTCTTGGTCTCAAACTCCAGTAACATAAAACACTGCCTTCAGTTACATTTCTGTAACTTCATTAAAGCAAATATGTGGAATGTCATTCGTTACTAGCCTGATAAAACTTACAGGATGCCTACTCTGAATATTTTAGTTATATATTAAATGAAGAACTAAATGAATCCTTCTGTCTTGATTTAAGTTGTTCCCTTTGTTCAAAAGATGGAAAATCCTGTAGAGTCCTCTTATCTTCCACATCCTTTCTCTGGAGAAGTGTTTTACTTCAAATGCAAACTTCATGCAGGCATAGTCTTAATTAGGCTTATTTGGGAGACTTTACTACATGTCTGCCATTGGAGACTGCTGAGAAACCACCAGCTGGCTTTGAGGGAGATTATGAGGAAGCCTTAGGGCAATAAAAAGTTTGAACGTTAAAAGACTTCCTCATAATGTAGATGCTTTCGTTAATGTCAGTAGGCTTTTAAACTTTTCTAGTTCAGGAAACATTACAGTTCTGCTACGAAGGGAGCACAATCTGAGCAGGAATCTCTAAGGCACAGTGCTTCTACTGCTTGATGCCTCCTCTCTCCTGTCTAGGTTGTGCCTTTAACACACAGCAGACTAATCAGCATTCAGCTCTTCTGCCTGGAGCGACTGTCCCTCTTGAGACCTGGACTTCAACATGACTAATTTCCGCCAGCAGAGTGTATGTTTAGTGATGTATTAATTAGGTAAAATAAAAAGTAAAGCACTGAACAAACTCAGTATTGTGTACCATAAAGCACATAACAAGCTTTTACATTATAATGCATTTTGCAGTTTTTAAGTCTCGGTCCACATAGCAGGTGAACATTCTCCATTACGAGGGTATTTCTTCTTTTTTACAGGTGATCACAATTGGTAAACATGTTAAAGGATACCATTATATCATTGCAAATCTGGTAAGCATTTTTAATATTTAAAATACCCGTATTACTCATTTTACTGTTTATGGACACATCAACTGGTATTTTGTTTTAAATGAATTTTAGACAATAGAAAAAAGCTAAATGTCTTTATCCTTGCCAAATGAATTAATGTGTTGAGATGGTGTTTGTTTTATTGGCTGAGCCTTTTCAGAGCTTAAATGCCTTCTGTGATATTCTTATCAATGGGAGTGAAGGTTGCTCAGCACCTTCAGTAGAACTTCATACTTTGTTCTACATACTTTAGAAAAGTAGAGTATGGAAATCAGAAGAGTAACTTTCTGCATTATAAGCCAATACATTCATTCAGCAAACTGCTTTTTCTTCTCACCTCTGAAGTACTTAAAAATTATGGTTCTCAGCTTGCTTTCTGTTAGAGTAGTGAATCTCAGCTTTACATGTCTTCATTCCTTAGATTGGCTTGGTAATCTGTTTGAATTAATCTTTTCTTGAACATAGGTGATCAGATAGTATAAGCTAATAGTGTTCCTAAGGGGGAGAGTTCAGGAAACTCACTAAGGTCTGTCAAGGTAATTTTTTTGAAAGTGTATCTGAAGGTGAAGGGCCATTTTACTGATGTTAAAGTCAACAAGACTTGTTTACTGAAGCTAGGGAATCTTATCCATTGTTTCTTTGTAACAGACAAAGCAAATTCTGCAGACTTGAATCCATGATTCTATTCCAGAAAAGGGTTTTGGGGTTTGCATGGTGTGAGTGCCCCTAAAGAATAAATTTTTCATCATTTATTCTTGGACTATGATAGTGTTTGATATGAATTCCAGCAGGGCACAGAGTACTGTAATTCAGACTCTGTCTTTTGTAGTCCTTTGAGGGGCCTAGGAAACAGAAGAACCACAATGTGTCTGTCACACTTCAGACATAATCCCTGTCTACTCCCAATCTTTGATCAAAACACTTCCCCCCTCCAGGAGGGCCCTATTCTGAAGAATCACATGTGTTGCTAGACAGGTGCAAAGACACCTTGTACTCTAAAGGCCTCTTTAAAAGCACAACAGTGGGGTTTCATTTTTATATTTATTAACGAATTTTTAGGATAAAGAAGTTAAGGTATTTATATTACCAGAGCAAGCATGAAAGTCTTAGAAAATTTGAAAATTCCCTGTTAGACATTGGTATTTTGCATTGCAAATGTTGTATAAATAGTATTTTGAGTCTTGAGGGAAATAAAGATTTTAGAAAAATTGCCTGGTGTATTTCATTATATTAACTGGTTGTTATTTTAGCCATTGCTCTAAGTTTGTAACAGTAAGATCTAAAACTTAGTAAATCTTGTATTTTAAAGCTGGTTAATATCATATTTCCTTTCTACAGATTTCTACACTTTAAAGCAAATATTGTATATCTTTTGTATAATATCATATATATATGATAATGATTTTAAAATTATATTTTTCTCTGATACAAAGACAGCTTATCTAGTACTTGGTCATATCCCATCTTCTTCTTCTTTTTTTGGTTGTAATAATGTTGTATAGTGTGATCAATCACAAAATTGATCCATTTTAAGAATAAAATACGCTGATAAATGGAGAAGTGAAAGTATATAATGAATGTTCCTGTTCAAACGTCAAGCTCGCAGTAATACTGAAGGAAATTTCATGATCCCTGTAGAAGTGTCTGTACTAACGTGCAGCAACACATCATTGATGAGTGTGATTAATATGCAGTAATGAGAGCACCTCGTAGAGCAATTCTGGCAATTTCTGCTAATGTGGTCTGAAGTTGCTACTTCTTTTTATGTTCACTCAGAGCATTCATTTAAACCATAAGCTCTGAAATCAATATTTCATGTAAAATCATTTGTGTGGCAAGTTAAAACACAGAACATAGAAAACAAACCATACCTCCTTTTGTAAGAATGAGTTGTTGAGAGTGTTTTGTAAGAATGAGTAGTTCTTTATACTAGAGGGTGGAGGCAGGAGAGATGGTAAGTCCTTCCACGTGCTTTAGTGTTCCTAACAAAAAGAGGACTCAACTGTGGCTGTAACTATTTCTGGTTAAAACTTGCTTGCCTAGCTGTTATTCATGTAAGTGTTACCTTTCTCATTTAAGCAGTCCCATTGAAATTAACAGGATCGTTTAGGAAAGTAAGCATGGCAAGGACAGGTCCACTCAGCCCTTGCTCTATAGAGGTGTTTGTCTAGTGAGCAACAAAAGGTATTGCTGGCTGGCAGAGCTGATGACTTAATCCTGGCAGCCCAGGATTTAAACCTGGATCCTGTTTAAGGAGAAAGCTGGCTTACACTTCTGTAGTAGAAGTCATCTGATAACTCTTTATTTGTATATATTAATGAGAAATCTGCCAAAACTGTTTGAATAACAGACAATGTTTTCTGTACATAGGGGTTTACTGATGGAGATTTGTCAAAAATTCAGTTTGGAGGAGCTAATGTCTCAGGATTTCAGATAGTTGACTATGACGATCCTCTGGTGTCAAAATTTATACAACGTTGGTCAACCCTGGAGGAAAAAGAATATCCTGGTGCACACACTAGTACAATTAAGGTATGTCTTATATTTGTTTTAACCATGACAGATGTACAGGAAGTGAGGGAATTGGAATAGAAGGACAAGAGACAATCAGCTGTGCCAACACAATTTTATATGTCTCTGGGATATTTCTAACATTCTTTATCACAGGACTGTTGAGCAAAGATGCTACACTGTCAAAAATATTGAAGACAACTTTAATTTTCCTTGTGTCACTGTAAATCTGCACCTAACAGCTTGTTAGGTAATTGGTATGTGATGATGTAGTAAACATCTAGTGACTTTTTGTTTTGTCTTTTTTTTTTTTCCTTTGTGTTTTGAAATTTTTTAAAGGCTAACGTGTAGTCGTATGTAGGCTTCTAGGGAGCACAGATCTAGCAGTTCCTGATACAACATGATCTCCCAAAGAAATGCTAAGACAGTTGCTTTGAGACAGATGCCTAAATCATACAAAGACTTCTAGAATTAAATGGTATGCCTGAGGTACAGAATCGTGGTCTGATCTGAGTGACCTGATGTGACAAAAGATGTGACACTGGGCAAGTGGTTGGATTTCCTTAGCTCAGTTTTCCCTCTGAATAAAACTATGATAATAACACCTTCTTACCTTCTGTGACGAATATGAGGATCAATTAAAGTTTGCAAAATGTTAAAGAAGAATAATACGATTTTAATGCTAAATAGTTTTAAGTAATACAATCATTAATTTTATTAAGAATGAGTATGCTTAAAATGTATTAAGACAAAAAGATAAATGGCAAATGTTCTAGACATACCTTTCTTTTGTGCTGTTAAGCATGTTCTTGATTTATAAAGAGATGGATAAGAAGTTTTAGCAAAGAATGGAAGAACCACTTTTTAAATTCCTGGAACAAAAATCCTTTAAAGCACACAACCTTGATTTAAATTAAAACATAAAGTTTTAGGTTCCTTTTTTTTCTGAGGCCAAATTTGGGGGTGTTTTAGTTAAAGATATATTTTTTCTGTGGTTATTTTTGTATTTTGAAGTGTTTATGACAGAATAAGTGAATTTCTCATTTGATGTTTGATGAAATAAATTAGTCTGTGTCGTGCCTTTAGATACATTCATATTACATAAGTGAAATATACGTAATATGTATTGCTCTCATTTAGGAAAAAGCAAAAGGATGTGGGGGATTAATGCAATTGTTTCGTGTCTCTGGTTCTCAAGTACTCAAATCTACCTATCTATCTAATAATACTGTAGAATCATAGTCTGGAAATAATCACAGTGAAATGCATGACTGAAGTAAGAAAGGGTAACTGAAACCAAGATGCAGTTTTTCTCATAAATGGAAACATAAATTGGTGGGACAGTGCTGAGGATTCCAGTTCCTCTGGCGTTACTTACAGTAGGAGGGAAAATACAGGTGTTAGATAAGATGGAGTGGTTGCAATATTTTATTATGGCATTAAAATCCGTAACTTTGTCACAGCTATTCCCTTTTATTTCTTCCATGATAGATCCTTTCAAGTCTACTAGAATTCAGAAGGGTTGAAGGAGAGTATTTGGAATATCTAATATTTTATTTTGTTGTGGATAGGTACTTATTTTCATGAATTTCGTTAACTTAAACCACATTTTAAATTCAATTAAAACGGCTGATCTGTCTTTATATGTTGTCTGCTCAAGGAATGTATAGGATCACACTGATAGTCAAGAGATAGAGACACATGTTAAATTATCAGATAATTTTAAAATGTTAGAGGTATTGATGGGGGGAGGGAGAAACGTGGATTTATATTGCAATGTTTGGAGGGATTGATTGTATCAGTTACTGTATTTCTTTGTGTAGCTTTCTGTATTTTGCTCTTATATTACTTGTTATTTTTGCCTGGCACTGCATGTAAGGACAGAGAGATGTCAGATTTCATTCCCATCCTTGAGGGAGCTGGAGGCAGAGCAAACTCATAGAAATCATAAAATCAGGACAAGAAAGGCCTTTGAGCAGTCAGTCACCTGGCCCATCCTCCCTGTCTAAAGACAGAATCAGATATACCTGTGCAGTTCCTGTGGATAGTGATTTCAGATCTTCCCCAATCATTCTGTTTCAGAGCTTAAATAGTCTTACTTTTGGGGTTTTTTTTTGTCTTGCATAAATCAGCCTGTATAGCACCTAATTCCATTACTCCTTTATCTGTTTCTAATGCATATGAAGTTCTCCTTTTTAGCTGTCCTCCTGTATTTGAAGATGGCTGCCATATTTGTCCCCGCTTTCCTCCATGCTAAATTAAATAATTCTTTTTCCTTTGAATTTTCTAATCCCAGATCCTGTTAGTCATTTTGCTCCGGAACCTTTCTAATTGGTACCCATCTTTGAAATGCCTGGCTGGGTACTGCACGGCCTCTGATTGCGATGCTGTAGAAACTGAAATAATGGCTTCATGTATCTCAGAGATAGTGCTACTTTCAGGGCATCCTTTTATGTTATGTTTTTTTTTTTTTTTTTTTTTAATTTTCCCTTCACCATCATGACACTGTTGAAATACCTTTATCATGAGATACACACTTAACAATATCTGTGCACTTGATCGTTCCTTTAAAGTACAGGATTTTTGATGTATTCTTGTTGAAATGCATTCTCTTACTGTCCTTGAACATGCCATTCCTTCTTACATTAATATTCTAGCTGTGTTTGTTGTCCTTTGCTACTTGGAGTGTGTAAGTACTTAAGTTATAGAGCAGGTTAACTTGCTGGTCTCCCATTTGTCCCTTCTGTGATATTATGAATAACCTTTTTCCCCTTTTGGCCTTAAGGCAGTTGTCTAAACTGTCAGTGGTTCTAAATAGGTTTTTGCCACTAGTTCCCATGGAATCTAGGGAGCTGTCACTGCAGATTCTGCATGAAAGAGAGAGGAAGGCTAATAGAAGTTCTGTATTATCAATACAGAAATGAGAGGAGGTTACATGCCCCTGTCAGGTAATGTATGTAATTCCTGTCAGGAATTGCATAACCCAGGGATTGCAGAGATAACATCCCAGATCCTCTCTCTAAGAAAAAGTGCATTTCAAAGGATCGTGCTCGTCAAGAAAGACAAACGTTGTTGAAAACCTGTTCCACAGACGTCCAGAAAAGGACCTGGTTCAAATTGCTTTAAAGTGATATCTTCAAAATTTGTAAAATACTAATTATAAGAATTTGCCGTCTTAGGACATAGATGAGGAGAGACTGATTGTATTTGTTCCTGCAGTGTGCCTGTACTGGTAAAATCCGTAAGATTTAAAGATCAAGCAGGACACTTGAAACTAGTGCTTTGCTGTCATTTTACAAAAGGTTTTCTCATCTTTTGAAAGTAAATATGATATACTGTTTACCTCAGAGTAAATTTAAAATGTATCTGTTGTAATCCAAGAGGTTATCAAGAGCTACTAATACAGATCTTGAAACATACCACTGAGCCTCATGGCAAATTTCTTTGTCAAGTCGCAAAACAAAAGCCACATTTAATTTTATAAAGGCCTAATAATAACAAGTTGAAATGCCCTTTTGATCCATTATTGTGTATGTACAAATATGCCGGGCTTTCTGAGCCTTAGTGTTATGTCGTAAGGCAAACCTCTTGATGTTGTGGAAGGACGCTTTAAAGACAACACATCCATTCATACCCAATGGCTCCAATTTCCTGATCTGGTTAACTCGTTCTGTTTGTGGGCAGCCTGTGGTCTTACTCCTGGAAGAAGCTCAATTCGTACCTCTTGAAGGCTAGTGAAACATGCTAAGTTGTTTTGGGTTTGTGGGGCAAGGTTTTGGTAGTGGGGGGGCTACAGGAGTGGTTTCTATGAGAAGCTGCTAGAAGCTTCCCCATGTGTGACAGAACCAATGCCAGATGGCTCCACTGCTGGCCAAGGCCATGCCCACACCCATCAGTGACAGTAGTAGCACCTCTGGGATAACATAGTTAAGAAAGGGGAAAAGTTCCTGCCAGGAGCAATTCCAGCCGGAGAGAGGAGTGAGAATATGGGAGAGAAACAACTTGCTGACACCAAGGTCAGTGAAAAAGGAGGGGAGGAGGTGCTTCAGGCACTGGAGCAGAGAGAAATTCCCCTGCAGTCCATGGTGAAAACCGTGAATGAGCAGCCCATGGAGGTCTGCGGTGGAGCAAGGACCCCTGCCAGAGCAGGTGGATGCCCAAAGGAGGCTGTGACCCTGCAGGAGGCCCATGCTGGAGCAGGCTCCTGGCCAGAGCTGTGTCCCCATGAAGAGAAAAGCCCACGCTGGAGCAAGTTTGCTGGCAGTGATGTGTGACCCCATTGGGGACCCACACTGGAGAAGCCTGTTCCTGAAGGACTGTACCCTGTGGAAGGGGCCCATGCTGGAGCAGATCATGAAGAACTGCAGCCCTTGGGAAGGACCCATGGTGAAGTTCACAGAGGAGTTTCTCCTGTGGGAGGGACCCCACACTGGAGCAGGGGAGGTTCAGATTGGATATTAGGAAGCGTTTCTTTACCAAGAGGGTGTTGAAGCACTGGGGTAGGCTTCCTGGAGAGTCAGTTGATGCCCCAGGCCCATCAGTATTTGAGGCATATGGACAGTTCCCTTAATAACATGCCTTAGTTTTTGTTCAGCCCTGAATTAGTCAGGCAGTTGGATTAGATGACTTTGTAGGTCCTTTCCAACTGAAATGGTCTATTCTGTAAGCCATCCTACTTACTTGGTGGTGAGCTTTTCCAAGAGCAACCTTAGGCTTGGTGTGTGCAAGAAGTACCTGAGCCAACTTGTGTGTGATTTATATAGATATTACATGCAGCATGCAATAAAGAATTTGGAGCTGTCTGGTTGAAGACCTAAAGCAGCTCAAGCTCGCAGAGAACACCATTGGGTTGGAGGATGGTAATAACCCCAGTACTCATTGCAGCTGTTTTTGTATTTCATGCTTCGTAATCTTTCCCCCCACACATACACTTAGTGCGTAGCTAAGATAACAAAATGATAGATTGTTTTTGCCTTCTGATCCTGTTTTCAGTAGTTTCACATTGTCAGGTCTCTTTTTTT